GCCATGTGACTGGGTGAGCATGGCCAATTCAAAATAACTCACATCAAGGGGTGCCTCGCTCGGCCCCTCCCCGCCACACCTTGTCACGTCCAGCCTCAACCTATCTATAGTTCTGTTAAAATGCTGTTCACTTATTCGACTTTATTATCTGCATCTACATACCTGCTATAGATGTACTTTCACAGACCACTGAAAGGAGGAAAAGGCTCTGATACTTTGCACAAGAGTGTGATAGATAACAAAACAGGCTTTTGAGGGGCTGCCACAAAGAAAGGGGGGCAATATATTTTCCAAAGAAGCAGAAGGCAAAACAAGAAGCAATAGATAAAAACTGTACCAAGAGAGAAGCAACCAAACTTCCTGACTCTGAGAACAATTAACCAGTGGAACTACTTGCCTCCAGACTTTCTGGGTGCTTGATCACTGGAGGTTTTGAAGAAAAGAGCGGACAGCCATTTCTCTGAAATGGTATAGGGTTCCCCCCAAAGTCCCTTCTAAACGTTCTTCTGAACACATTCCCCAGGCCTTCCACTCAGATTTTGGCATTTTCAGTTTTCCTGCTGAGCAGGGGGTTGGACTAGAAGACCTCCAAAGTCCCTTTCAATTATTATTCCATTATTCCTCAGAAACATACACTCAATTTAAGCAAATTCCCTTGTTTTGGAGACTTTAGAATCTTTAGAAGATGAACAATTTTTGAATGTAGCTGATTTAAAGGAGGTTTGGCTGAAGTTAAGAAGTGTGCATGTGGGCGTGTCTGCATGCAATCTTATGCAATTATCAAGAAAAATATTCAGAGCCCATCTACAATCCGGAGAATCTGTGGAACAGCATTTTGTACTCTTGCAAACTTTGTAGCGTTAGAACAATGTGGAATGCAGTTTCCTGAATCTCAAAAAGTGTTATTGGTGTTAAAGTCTGGATGAAACATGAGACATAGTTTCTGCAGTGTTTGAGCAAACGTCTTTCCACACTCCATGCATTTACTGTAAATTGCTTCTCTCCTGAGTGGATCTTTTTTAAAATTATTTTTAAATACACATCAATATCAACACATGAACAGTGAGGCATCTGGGTATCATTTCTTTAAATATAAGTAGTAGTGATATCATTGTTATTTGTCATACTTATATAATTGTAACGTTATACATATTTGTTAAAATATAGACCATTATTTAATTGTTCAACATTTTAATTTCCCATTCTAATAACAATAGGAATATCATTAAAACATAGTGTCACCATCTTTCAACATCTAATCTTTATATTTGTCTATATTATTATTCCTCCTATTTCTTGTGTCTGCCTCTATTTTGGCTCCTAATAATATCAATCTTGTGTTACAAAACATTTCCTCTATTCATCATCTCTTGCCTGTTTTAATATTTCAATTCTTATTCATTTGACCTGCTTACCAAATGACCTGCCTTGGATCTTCTCAATCTAAATCTTTCCTGTTTTACTTAAGTATTTCTTCCATCTCTACTATCTTTCGCTGCCAAGCCTCCAGAGGATCTGCCCAACTCTTCATTTTCTTTTCAAAAATATCTTGCTGTTTGTCCAAAATTATTTTTTTGGCCTTTTAGCATGTACTTTCCATGAATTGCTTCATTAATTTTTATTTCTTTCATTCATTCATTACCCCTTCTGAATCACTTTGTAGCTTCTCATTTATATTATTCGCCAAATCCATTATCTCCCTATGATTCCTTGTCATAGAACAGCGATGCCAAACCTTTTCAGCCCAAACCTGAATGTGTGCGGGCAGAGCCCCGGAAACTCCAAGACCAGTTGGCTGTTTTTTTTCCAGGTTTCTGGCACATACATGCATGCAGGCCAGCTGGTCTTTGCGTGTGTTGGAAACACAAAGATCAGGTGACCGGCACATACATGGGCACTGGCCAGCTGATCTTCGGGTTTCCGGCACTCCAGCACATGTGCAGACCAGCTGACTGGCAGATCAGCTGGAGACAGCACATGTGCCCACAGAAAGAACTCTCTGTGCCACCTCTGGCATGCCTGCCATTGGTTTGCCATCGCAGTTATAGAATCAGAAATTCTTTGGAACATCGCCACCAATTCTTTTTAGTGATAACCCACTAATTTCCCCCTTGCCTTATTTTTTTTACATGTCTAAATATGGCTCAGTAGTCTGTCACTGGTCTATCACTGCCACCGAGTCTCAATTATCTTTGTCCTCAGACACTCAATCTGGAAATCATTTACTCAGCCCTATTGTTGCTCCTCCGGGAATATAGTAATATACTTCTTTATATCCCACAAATAGTCAATTTAGCTCTTTTTGGTAATTCAGGAAAATTTCCAAATGTCTTAAGTCCCCTCTATAAATTCAATCCTTACTCCTGATATTTGAAAGTCATTTTACATAGATGTCTTCCGTATTTTTACCATTTGAGCTCCAGGAGTCACGGATTAGTTAAATATAAAACAATAGATAGCTCAGCGGTTCTCTAGGTCTTGTTTCCACTTTCTCTTCTGTTTTATCAGTATTTTCCCAGGATTAAAAGAGTATAATGTATTCCATTCCAAAGTAGATGGCGCTTTCCGCTTAACTTCAATGTTGTATAAATTCTAACAAGTTGTTGCATTTATTCAAAAAAATAATCAAAATTCTAACAAATAGTTCTAGCATTTTAAAATGTTAGTGATCAAAACTTTTTATGATTTTAAACATTTTGTGCTTTGGGGGTCTGTAATTTTTCTCCGCTTAAACAAACTCTTCAAAGAGTCCTTCTTCCAGAGTTTATTTTCTTTAGGATTGATCTTAGATAATAAAAAAGTCATCTCACCCAGTTCCAGTCACTGTTCAGACACTGCTCCAGCACATTCTTTGTTTCTTTGGCTGCCCAACTTCACGGCAGCCATAATGGCTACCTCTCATCCGCCTCATCAGATGATACGGAATTAGCCCTGGATCAACCAGGAGAGCTTCGGCTCTCCACGACCTGAGTGGGCACCACCCCACTCTTTATGGGGCCCTCCAACGAAGGAATTTGGCATGGGTTTGCGGATCCCCACTTTTTGCGTCCAATAGCACCACAACATCAATCAGAAGCCCTCTGAGTGGATCTTTTTGTGGTTTCTAAGTCCACTGCTCTGAGCAAACAACTTTCCACAGTCCATGCATTTATATGGTTTCTCTCCTGAGTGGACCTTTTTGTGGCTTCTTAGTCCACTGCCATGAGTAAATGTCTTTTCACACTCCATACATTTATACGGCTTCTCCCCTGTGTGGATCATCTTATGGGAAATAAGATTACCTCTTTGAGCAAAGGTCTTTCCACATTCCATGCATTTAAATGGTTTCTCTCCTGTGTGGAGCTTTTTGTGGCTGCTAAGGCCACTGCTATAAGCAAAGGTCTTTCCACACTCCATGCATTTATATGGTTTCTCTCCTGAGTGGATGTTTTTGTGGCTTCTAAGTCCGCTGCTCTGAGCAAATGTCTTTCCACACTCCATGCATTTATATGGCTTCTCCCCTGTGTGGATCACCTTATGAGAAATAAGATTATAACTATGAACAAAGGTCTTTCCACACTCCGTGCATTCAAATGGCTTTTTCCCCATGTGGATCTTTTTGTGGATAGTAAGTCTACTGCTCAGAGCAAAAGTCTTTCCACACTCCATGCATTTATATGGTTTCTCCCCTGTGTGGATCCTTTTATGGATAGTAAGTGTACTGCTATGAGCAAAGGTCTTTCCACACTCCGTACATTTATACGGCTTCTCCCCTGTGTGGATCATCTCATGGCGAATAAGATGAGCTCTTTGAGCAAAGGTCTTTCCACACTCCCTGCATTTAAATGGATTTTCTCCTGTGTGGATCTTCTTGTGGATAGTAAGTGTACTGTTCTGAGCAAAGGTCTTTCCACACTCCATGCATTTATATGGTTTCTCTCCTGAGTGGAGCTTTTTGTGGTTAGTAAGCCTTCTGCTCTGAGCAAACGTCTTTCCACACTCCATGCATTCATATGGTTTCTCCCCTGTGTGGATCCTCTTATGCATAGTAAGTGTGGTGCTATGAGCAAAGGTCTTTCCACACTCTATGCATTTATATGGTTTCTCACCTGTGTGGATCCTTTTATGGATAGTAAGATGCCCGTTTTTGCTAAAACATTTTCCACATTCCAAACATTTATAAGGCTTCTCTTTTGTGTCAACCGCTTTTTGAGGTGTAAGGAAGATATTCCCAAGAAAAAGAATGAATGTCCCATTGTAATTTTGTCCGTTGTGTCCTCTTAGAGCATCTTCTCCTTTGTTTTGGGTTAAATAGTGTTCATTTACTTGTACTTTAGGTTTGATTAGTTGCACACTTTTTGTAGTACATTTTTTCCTTATTTTCTCCTGTTGGGCATGAAAGTTTGGCATTGGAGCATCGGTGGAAGATGAACTCTCCTGATTCCAATTCTTTGACTGGTTTCTCTCATTGCTTTCAAATTCCATTTGAATTCCAAATTTTTCTGTTCCATCTTTAGCACTGATCACTTGGAACAGTTCACGGGAATCTTGATTCTTCTGCCCATTAATACCTTCAAAGCAAAAGAGAAATGAAAATGATAACAAGGTTAGAGAAAAAGATTAAGCTGCAGAAAGTCAAGTGAATTTCCTTCTGAATTTCTCAAATTCCATTATGTTGTATGTTTGCATGACTACAGTGTTGTGATATAGACATGATGATTTCTATATTCATGAGTCATGAAAACTTTGAAAAAATCTAGAAAACACCTCTTTCTTTACAATTATCTCTATACAAGGAAATCCCACTCAGAGTCAGTTTTGAGTTAAGGAATAATCAGGGGAAACATCCAAGGAGGAATGAGGAGAAAACTTAAAATTTATTGGGGTGGGTTAATTTCAGCAGAGACCTGTAAGAACTGAAACAATTTTGAAACAAGCTCCTTCTTCCCCAGTGTCTGTCTGGTAGGCGTGACCCCCTGCTCAGCCCGATCCCAGGGTTGAGACTTTGGAGCGAAATCCTTTGCTGAAGCCTCCCATTGGCTTGTAAACGCTCTTTGGGCTGAGACTGCAAAGATTGGGAGGCTTTGAGAATGGCTATTTTGCTGCCCCAAAGGCTCATGGCTTGTAAGGGCTCTTTGGCTGGATCTGGTACAGGCGTCAATTCGCAGAGAACGGAGGCCTAAAGTACTTTACTGTGAGATCACACGAGACTAGTAATGCAAGATCTCAGGCTACTAATCTGATGTGATCTCGCACTGCAGTACTTTAGGCCTTTGTTTGTTTAAAAACTGAGGGCTGCACAAGATCCAGGGCAAAAGTCTCTGAAAATGAAGCGGCCTTCCCTCTCTTTGCAAAGCATTTTGCCTTGGATCTCGTGCAGGCCTTGATTAGCAGAGAACCAAGGCCTAAAACACTGTAGTGTGAGATCACGTGAGTTCAATAGTACTAGATTTCCCACTACTGATCTCACGTATCTCTCACTACTTTAGAGCTTTTTTTTCTGCAAATGCACCAAAACAGGCAAAGGAACCGATGGCTGGCCTCATCGTCACAAGTTAAGTCTCGGCAAGGTGGCGGAATACGTAGGGCGAATGTTGCAGTTTAATTAGTTTGTCAAACATGTAGAAGATAACAGGTACAAGTATAAACATGGACATGAACAAAGGGAATGATTAAAAATAAATGGGGAAAGTAGGACAGGGACGGAAGGCACGCTGGTTGCTTATGCACGCCCGCTTTACGGACCTCATAGGAATGGGGTGAGATCCCCGGTAGACAGTTTAAGGTTGAAGCTATGGAAGTTGGAGTAAGTAACAACAGTCAGGTAGAGCATTCCAGGTGTTGACCACTCTGTTGCTTCTCCCTCGCAGGAGATATCTGATTAGTGTTTTTTTAAATAAAAAACTAACTATAATCTGTCTTCTTGAACTCTCTGATTGGGGACTAGAAAACTCTTACCCAGAGAGACCACATTCCTATGATTTTCAAGCATGACTTCAGAATGGAGTACTTTTTGGTCAGGATGCAGTTGAGACCATTCCTCCTCAGAGAAATACACAGCCACCTCCTCGAAGGACACAAGACTCTCCTGAACATGGAAAAAAGAACAGAACAGTCGGATTCGCAACATCTGTTCATCTTCAATAATGATTTACACAAGAGGATAGAAGGGGAACTCATCAAATTGACAGGAATACCAACACTCCAGAAGATAAACTCGAGATATGAAATGATCAACAGCTTGAACCCTATCTAACTAATGAATTTCAGCAGCTAGAAATGTAAGGTTCTACATTT